CTACAAGACGTGGAGGTTCTCGCACGACTTGGACTTGTTGTCGAGGAGACACATCTTGCTGAGGAGCTCCTTGGCGGCGTGGAGGCTCAGCGACGTCTTGGAGGAGGACATCTTCTTGAGGCGCTTCCTCTGGGCCGCGAGTCGCAACCGCACCTGAGGAAGTACAACGGGGCGTTAGACTTGTGCCTAAGATGCGTCACGTGGTTAGTCCAGATTAAAAAAAAAAAAAAAAAAAAAAAAAAAAAAAAAAAAAAAAAAAAAAAAAAAAAAACAGTATGGAAAAAATACATATATAATTTCATATACAATGAGATATTAGCATTATAATGTAGAAAAAATCTCAGCAAAGACAATAAACTGGAGATTTAACAGCTGTATCACCTGCTTGACGATGCCGACTAGCAGCTCGTCCACGTTGTGCTGAATCCCACTCGACGTCTCAATGAACTTGCTGTCGTGGCAGGAAGCGAGCGTCTTGGCCTCTGGGGAAGCAAGGCCATTAGACCACACACGTAGTGCTGTTCTCTTAAGATGAAGCACACACCGGAACACGTAAAAACACACACACACACACTTAAATACACGCATGCACGCACACGCACGCACACATACTTAAATACATGCATGCACGCTCACGCACGCACACATACTTAAATACATGCATGCACGCTCACGCACGCACACATACTTAAATACATGCACGCTCACGCACACATACTTAAATACACGCACGCCATGCATTACATACTTACATGCACGCTCACGCACGCACACATACTTAAATACATGCATGCACGCTCACGCACGCACACATACTTAAATACATGCATGCACGCTCACGCACGCACACATACTTAAATACACGCATGCACGCTCACGCACGCACACATACTTAGATACACGCACGCACGCTCACGCACGCACACATACTTAAATACACGCATGCACGCTCACGCACGCACACATACTTAAATACATGCACGCACGCTCACGCAACGCACACATACTTAAATACATGCATGCACGCTCACGCACGCACA